AGACCCTCGCTTGCATTCATGTGGCCCTTGCCCAGCCCGCCAGGCACTGGCAGAAGCCGCGAAGGAGAACGGCTCCTGTGAAATTCGCCCCCAGGATGCAATCGGTTCGTCGAAGTTAAATCGAAGGTGCAGGCTGGGGGACTGCGGGGCCTCTTGAGGCTCGGGATTGGAGGACCAGGAGTTGGGGCTGTGCGTACGTTGCCATGAAGCGATATAGAAGAACCAAAAAAGCATCACAAATCAGAGTTGCCTAGTTTGCAATTAGAGTTCATGTGAGCTCTAACCCAGCTTTCCTCAAGGCCCTCCGCCTCAGAGGTGGTGGGTTTAGGGTTCAGCCAGTCAAGGCTCTTACGTCTATAAGTCTCTCGATGCCCTATCAGACCTAAGCCCACTGAAGGCACGAGAACCATGCAAACAAACCGCAACCCTTACCTTGCACGCTAGTCGCCGCTGGTTAGGTTATGAGTGATGACATGTTCTGACACGGCCTTGGAGCCTGTCCTCGTCCTTGCAGGACATGGGGGGTGGGGGATGCGGAACAGGCAGTCGTGTCCAAAGTTCGGGAGTTTCGGGTCTGTGGGGTATGCTATTTAGGGGTGTCAGTTTGTTTAGGGGTTTCGGCTTTAAGGGGTCAGGACCCACGAATTCTACGTCCAAAGCCCGACCGAAAAGCCTCCAACTCCAGATACAGGCCCTGGCGCCCTAAGCTACATTTCTGAGTCTTAAACCCACCAAAGAAGCCTGTCGTTTCAGTTATCCTTCTACGTAGTCCGTGTGTGCTTTTCTTTGAGTTCATTTGCAGTCGTCTGTTTGGCAGTGCATTCTAAAACCCATGCGTAAATGCATCTCGGGAAGGGGAGCACCAGGTTTCCGCTCCTCCCCTCCTCCTCGGGTCCAAATGTCAGTCAAAGGAGGCGGCGGAGGAACACTTGGCGTGGATGGGCGGAGAGCAAATTAATTTTCGGATGCTCGTCTTGCAACTGCGAACAGTGAAAAAAAATGGCCGGGGAGAACCGAAAGGACCGGCTGCAGGATTCGAGTCCGTGCCGTAGGGGTGAGGCAGCAGTCGGATTTCGAGATGTTGTGTGCCATGCTGTAGAGAGGGACTAAGCAACAGGTCTTTAGGAAGTCTCGGGTCTTGTGCGGCGTGTCAGACTTCGGATGGTTTCATTGGCAGCCAGAGGTCGTCAAGTAATCTGCAGCATTGCTGCTGCAGCTTCTTTGTCTTTTCCGAACTGCTCCCTCCTTAGCCACGGGGTTAGTGCCAAAAGTTAGGGTTTAGGGTTTAACCCACACCTCTGCAGCTAAATGCGAATCTTGCGCAACCCTCGTCAGCACCATGACAGGGCAAATATTGAACCCGAACGCTGGTTTGTGTCATCCAGAAGATGAAACACTACATGCAGAGTAAACCCCCAGCGCCTGAACTCTCAAAGGCAGCGAAAGCCCTGCACTGTGAAGTCGATACTCCAACACTTCGAAGTCAGCCATATCAGCCAGTGCCGTGAAAGCGCCATGGACGTGTTTCTTACACGGCATGGCGCCCGCATTGACAAGGAAGACAGGCAAGAGACAACCCATAATTTTGAAGTACGAGTTAAGGGTGTCAGAGCTTTTTATGATTCGGCTTAACGTTTGTGCATTCTCAGACCTGTTCTGAATGTCGGTGTCCCGGTTTTCATGTATTTAGCCTTTGGGCTTTCGGATTTACAGTTTAGGGTTCAGGGGTGGGTTATCGCAGAGATCAGTTTTGTCTGTCGGTCTGGGGTTTGCTGCGTGGGGCCTTCAGACTTCGCTGAAACCGAAGGTGTACCTTCCAGCAGTTTATATCAATTTCGCAGTCATCCCAGGAGCCTAAACCCTAAAGTCTCAATCTTAAACCCTAAAGTCTCAACCCTAAGCCCTAAAGTCTGAACCTTAAACCCTAAAGTCTCAACCTTAATCCCTATATACTCCTTCAACACCGGTTGCCTGCTGGCAGGAATTGGCTGGCGCGAGCTGGCCACAGAAGACCTTTGGACAAAGCAGCGATTTGGGTTTAGGCGGTTTGGGCGGTTTGGGGCCTTGAGGGCCTTTAGGGCCTTTAGGGTTCGGAGTTTTGGGTGGTCGGACACAGGAGAGAGCCAGGGTCAGGTTGGGGTTATGGGTGACGGCGCCGGGGGCTCATGTCTTTTTGGCTGCTTCCCGCACACCCTAGACGACTTGAGCCCTAGTATCTCAAGGCGTCGCTGCAAGGTTCAGGAAGGCGAACCCTCAGCCACACTCCTAGCGCTCTTAGTAGCAAATCTTCTTGAAACTTTTTTTCCTTTAGGCTAACCTTACCTCTGAAACCCCTAAACCCTAAACCCCAACCCTAAACCTCAGAAAATCCCTAAGTGTTCCCATGCTGCACGGCCTTCCGCATTCAAACCATCAGGAGTACAAAGCTCGGCATCCTGCCTGAAGCCCTGAACGCGAAACCTGAAGTCCAAACCCCAGTTTGGGGTGGGACTTTTTCGGGGCCTTAAGCCTTAGGGTTTAGGGTTTCAGTTTCGGATTTAGGTAAAAAAATAGCCTTCTGTTGTAGTAGACTTTCCAGTAGCTCTAAGCCCTAAACTTCTAGGCTCCGAAGCCCTGAAGAACGGAACGCCTAAAGCCCCAAAGCCTCGAACCCTAGACTTTCAGCCCGAAGCTCCAAAATCCCGACGTTTGGGATCCTTAGCCGTAAACCCTAAAACCTGACATAAGCCTGTATCCCTAAATCCCTAAACCCCAAAATCCCCGAATGCCCTAAACCCCAAATCCCTGAGAACCTAAAGCCCTAAAGCCCTGAACCCCCAAACCCTAAACCCTAAGCCCTTCAGCCTTAACCGCTAAAGCCCCAAACCCCAAACCCTAAACCCTGCAGCCTTAAAGCCCCAAGCCCCAAAGCCCCAAACCCTAAACCCTAAACTCTGAACCCTAAACCCTAAACCCCAAATCTTAAACCCTGAACCCTAAACCCTAAACTCTAAGCCCTAAGCCCTAAACCCTAAGAACCCTAAGATCGAGCAGAGGATCAGACGATCCACACCTTTCGCCTGCCGGGGAAGTGGGAGCTTCTGAGCTGGCGGCAAAGCCTCCGGGCGGATTTTGTGTGGGTTTTAGGGTTGCCTTTAAGGGATCCGCTAATGGTTCTTTTAGGGGATCTGAAAGGGTTCCTTTGAGGGATCTGTAAGGGTCGCTATAAGGGTTACGATCGGGTGGATAAGGGGTTTAGGGTTCAGGGTCTATTTCGTGTGGGAGGGGTTTTGGGGTAGGGGTTTCACGGTTTAGGGGTTTCGAAGCTCAGAGTTTTAGGCTTTCGGGGTTCCGCCGTCTTGGGTTTGGGGTTTGATTCAGGGCTTACGGCCGAAGCCGCAAATCTTCAGTGCGCACGGATTTTTCAGTTTGTGCCCGGGAGGTTTGGCCCAGGTCTTGGACTGAGTCTTCCTGCCGTGCCATCTTAAATTCAGGCCGTTGGCCAAAACCAAAAGCAGAAAGCTTTCACCCCAAGAGACGCAAGGGAATCCGGATCTGCGGCTGTTCCTGGGCAGATACTTAATTTGCGGAACTTCAAGCAACACCCAAACAAACCACTTGATAGGCCAACACAAAGTGAAGAGGTGCACGGCTACCGATTTCACGCGGATCTCCAAGTTTGGTGTGGTGCTTTTCAATACTGTAGAAAGTTTTCTTGGTAGTAGAGGAGGTAACTTGTACCCTTTCTGGGGTACTCTGATTCCTTTTTCTATCCCAAAGGTTACCGTTCAGCTCGCCCAGAGTCCTTTGTAGAAAGGTTTCATGGCAGCTCAGCGTCCCGGATTGATTGCAGTTGTCGGTCCAGCCTCGGATGTTTTCTAAACCCTACCTGGGCCCGGGAAACCCTCAACCCTAAACCCTAAACCCCGAACCCCCCGAGAATCAAGATTCAGACAGCTTCGTTTTCGAATAAAGCGGCAGGCTTGCGAAGGCGACTCCTAGGATTTCGGGATTTAGGGGTTTAGGGGATTAGGGGTTAGGGGTTTAGGGGTTTTAGGGGTTTAGGGGTTTTAGGGGTTTAGGGGTTTCGGGGTTTTAGGGCTTTTAGGGGACTCTAGAAGCCCACAGCATCGAACCCTCCGTCCGATGCCTTCGACTCGGTGTTTTGAAGCCACGACTTGCCTTTTGCGCGCGGCGAAGGCTCCAAAGTGTTCATGCTTCTACGCTGCTTGGATAGCACCAAGCCTTCTGAAAAGGGGGAACTTCTTATGCAGAAAGATCTCGATCCTACACGTAAGTATCGTCTGTCTTTGGTATCAGCAATTTGCGTTTTGCAGTGTTTGCTTAGATGCATCGGTCTCGGTTTCTGTCGCAGGGAGCTGGAATCCGGGTGCCCTGTTCCGAAGTTGGTTGGAATCAAACTTCTTCCAGGTGTTTGTCGTGTCGTCGGGAGTGCAGTCCGTTTTTTGGAGTCTATGCTTCTGCGGCTTTGGATTTTGGGCTTACAGTCTTACAGGGTTAACGGGTTCAGGGCACAAGAGCGGTTTCTTTTTTGGCATGCTTGGGGCGGCAGCATCGTCTGACCCCGAGGCGTAAGCCCATCCTCGAAGGCCCTTGACCCTGCACCCTAGGCAGTTGCTCAGAGAGCTTTGGGCTCTACTAGTTCTGTGTCCGGCACCTCTCTAAACCCTAAACTAAACCCTAAACCCTAAGCCCTAAACCCTTTAAACAAAAAAGCCCTTCAACCCCTAAACTATTTTGCCTGGCCTAACCGTCTTTTCAGGACTCCGGGTGCCCGAACAGCGAAATCCCAAGCCTGCCAAGTTCCCGGTTTGGAGCTCCAGAGGCTTTCTAAGACCCTGAGCCCTGAAACCCCAAAACCCCTCTTGTGCTGAGGCCCGAACCTCTAATCTCCCCGGCGCAGGCCGATTTCGCACATCATCTCTTCGCCTTTCGTGTGCCAGGGCTTACCTGAGGCGCAGATTGATTGGCTCTTACTCAAGGTGAGCTTACACACGCTTGGTTCATTGTAATGTGTGTGTGTGCACAAGTCTCGAACGAATGCATGCATGCCTACAATGCAGACACTGAGATCCGGGTGTACATATGCAGGAGCGTCCGGTCCTTCCTGCATCAAAGCGGATCTTTCCTGTTGGTAATAAGTAGACTTATAAGTGCCTTTATAGGGATCCTAATTGGGGTTGTGATACCTATAAGTCTATAAAACAGCTACTTACTAAGTCCCCCGACCCTCCAAGCAAAGTCAGATGTGCCGAGGCGCTGCATTCAAACTGCGGTGCCCGTGGCGGAAGCTTTGGGTCTGCCGATCAAGGCAAAGCGGGTGGCTCAGGGTTTAAGGTTTGAGGGTCTTTAGGGGTTAAGGGGCGTTTAAGGTTGGAGGCTTAGGGTTTGGGGCTCAAGGTTTTAGGTTTAGGGTTTTAGGGTTTAGGGTTTAGGATTTAGGGTTTAGGGTTTAGGGATTAGGATAACCCTTGGCTTGCTGCATTGCTTCGGATGGCAGCATCTGTGGTGCAGCTGTGCAGGTGGAGCCAGGCATCTGTGAGATCCTCTCTGCAACCCGCCTGCAACCCGGAACTCTGAGCCCTACATGGAGGTTCCTTTCAGGGTTCCTTTACGGGTCTATAAGGATGTAGGATTTAGGCTTACTTGGAGGTTCATGGGTAGTTAGACGTGGGGAAATAAGACCCTTAATATGGGTTACAACTATAGTTACCCTGCTTAGAAGCCCTTCCTTCACCAACCCTGACCCCTAGGCCCTAAACCAGTTTGGGGTGGAACACTACACCCTGAGCCCTAAGCTTGTACTTGGGGATTGGGGGTGAGCTCTTCGATTTCTGCGCGCCGACTTGTTCCTTGCATCTTGAGCCTGCGTTTTTCTTCCTGGAATCCATGGTATTGAGGGTTTAGGGTTTAGGGTTTCGGGTCTTCCTAAACCCTAAACCCTAAACCCCAAACCCTAAATGAGGGCTGGTGAACTCGAGGCCAGGGCGGTGGGGTTCCCCAAATTTTCAACACGCCGCAAGCAGGACCTGATAGTCTGACGCATCATCATTTTTGTCGCAGAACTGAAAGGGCATGCTTGCAGTTTTCTTTTTTGTCTGAGTTGCCGATATTATTACAGAAGCGCATGAGAGGCTGCTAGAGTTTAAGACGCTTACACTGGACACTAAACTTTTCACATGATGTTGCGGCTTTCGAGGTCTTTCCCCCCGGCTTTCTGGAGACGGAGGAGCTGAAACAGCAGTTCTCGTCCCTCGGCCGGAATGGAGGGCTTAATGCCTAGCGCCCTAGTGTTCGAGATTAGAAAGGGAATTCCTCGTGTCCAGGATTCTGGTTGTAGATCGTTTCACGCCGCAGAGCACCCAATCTAGGGATCGGACCAATTAGCTAATCTGTGTAACTACAAAGCATATCCCCCAACACCATATTGATTATTAAGGCCCCGGCATTCGGGTTCCTCAGTGCCCACAGACGCATCTGCCACCCTGATCACTTGTTGCGTCTGGCTTTTTGCACATCGTTCTGGGTTTTGAGATTCCTGTCAGGCTTCTACAGGGATTGTCGGTATTCTGAAGACGAAGAGGTTGCATCTGCCTGATTTCTTCATGAATCAAACTCGGGGTTTGAGCAAATCCGGGTGCCATAGCAAGGCAGCTCCTACCGAAAAGCAGTCTGTTTGCGACGACGATTCCCCAAGCAGTTGCGAGAGCAAATCATGAGCTGCCCCAACCGAGGTCCGTGGATGCGGACTATGTGCCAGTGGTGGCACGGTCCCAACTGCGGGCGGAGACCCTTGGACGGAGGCTATATTATGGGAGGTTTCTAAACTTATAGGAGCCCTGTATTTAGGGATCGTTATAACAAGGATCCTATTATTTAGGGCTTATTTTAGGGACCCCCCTATTTTCGGACACCCCCAAATGAGTCATGATGTCCAGGCTTTATCTGCGAGATGGCTTCTATTCATAGCGCACTTGCGAGGCAAGGCTAGGAGTAGCAGGGCTATCGCCACCCGTGTCTTGTGCAATGGTCATTGCGCACCATGCTGCCCACCCTAAACCCTAGACCCTAGATCCTAACCACATGAGGTATACGGATTAGGAGCTGAGCACAAAACCAGGTCGAGGTTGAGAAGGCAAGATACATCTCTAAACCCTAAACCCAAAACCCAAAACCCTATATGAAGCTGTCGGCAGACGCTCAGCAGCTGCTGGCGCTGAGGGGCGAAGTTGTCGTAGGCGAGTGCAGAAAGCTTCAACATACGTTGCAGACGAAACATCAGGTTCAGAGCTGCAATTCAAAGACTTCGGACTCGAATAGACGAAGATTTACTTTGAAGTCATCCCCTTAATAAAGCCAACCAGGTCCTTGGGGTTTAGAGGGATTCGGCCCTCAAACTGCGTGCGAGGGCAACCCTGAGAGCTGCTTTGGCCTGCGCCCCTACACCTACCGTAGGGGCCTTAATGATCCCCCATATTATTTTGGGGGTTCCCTATTAGAAAGATAGTATATAGTATACTCCAAAATCCTTTTCTAACTATGAAGGCCTCCAAAAATGATTTGCCAGCCTTCCGGAGCTTGAGCTTAGAGGTCTCTGTCTCGAAGTGCCTGCGAAGCTACAACCGGGCAACTCCTGAGGCTAGGAGGCTCACCAGTTCCAGCGCCGCAACACCAGGTTTAGGGTTTAGAGTTTGGGGTTGAGGGTTTAGAGTTTAGGGTTTGGGGTTTAGGGTTTAGGGTTTGGGGTTTAGGGTTTGGGATTTGGGGTTTAGGGCCCTAAACCTAACTGCAGGTACCGGTGGGGGTACGTGGATCTGTCCCATTTTGTTCACGTACTTGTGGGCCACCAAAAATGGTATGGGCTTGCCTGTGCAGTGTTGGATGTAGAAAAGTTGCTATAGGTGGCTTGATGAACTGGAATTGATTCGTGATGACCTTTCTACCCTTTGAACACTAAGGCCCTAGATTAAAGCCCTATGAGCCCTTGAATTTAAGCACCATAAGCCCAAAACGCCAAACCCTTTAATTACAGCCCTGTAAACCCTAAAACCCTAACCCCTAAACCCCTAAACCCCTAAACCCTAAACCCACTGTACCCTAAACCCCTTAACTCCGTAACATGTTGGCTCCTCCTACGATGAGGCGAAAGGGCTCGATCCTGGAATCTTGAACTCCTTTTTCAATTCGTCGAGCTCTGGGGCATTTCAGGGTTTAAAGGGTTTAGGGGTTTAGGGTTTAGGGGTTTAGGGTTTAGGGTGTAGTAGGGTTTGTGGAAATTTCGAGTATCGTTGCACTCGAGAGATTAAAGGGGATAGTTCACGTGGGGTTCATTGTCCAGTGCTTCGCAGCAAACAAGGTTTTCTGACTCCCAAGCGGCTTCGCGAGCAGCGCGTGCCGCTGCGACACTGCGAGAACCTGGGCTTAGGAATCTCACGAAGTAAACTCCCTGGTTCTTAGTAGGGAATAGGGGAATGGGTTATTGGGACTACTATAGGGGTCCTTCAGGGACTTTCATAGCGATCCATTCCCCCATTCCCTACTAAGAGCCAAAGAGTAGATTGTGAAGGCTTTTGCAAGGAGATCGGGCTACGAGAAGGGTAGCTCGACGGGAAAAACGGTTTCAGGGGCATGGGCCACGCTTGCGTAGTTCGGGACTGCACACTGGACCTGAAGCCCCAAGCCCCAAATCACCCTAAACCCCTAAGAAGATTCCCTAGACCCTTAACCCTAAACCCTAAACATCCCTAAACCCTAAACCCTAACCCTAGTGGCGCAGTCTTCTTGCGCAGCCCCACTGAACTCGAACCTTCGACTCATTGAAGCCCTGCAAGCTTCACGTAAACCCCCCGAACTCCAACCTCGGGAACCTCAGACTCAGACCTTGAGCCCCCTGCCGAAACCCCTCCAGCCTAAACTAGCGGGCCTTTTGGTTAACAGGATGGGCCTGGGCTCCCTCTCTAAGTCTAAATCTGGAGCCAAAAAATGAAGCCACCCTAAACCCTACCTGGCCACGTAGCAACCTACCTTCTAGAACTTGTGAAAGGTCATCATAAACCCTAAACCCTAAACCCTAAACCCTAAACCCTCATGACAAAGAATCCCAAGAGTCTGGGTTTGTCAGGATTAGGTACTATAGGGGCCTTAAGCATTGCCTATACTATTTTGGGGGTTCCTTACTATCATTGTAGTAAAACGGGCCCCCAAAACATCCCAAAACCCTACTCTAATTATTAACCCTAAACCCTAAACTTCCCTAAACCCTACAGTATGCTCGGAAATCCAAAAGAAGGGTCATTCCAGCTCAGGAGCGGCTCACAGGACGGATCCTCTTCGTCGGCCATGGTGCCTCCTGCCTGGGCGTTGCGGAGGCGCTCGGTTGAGGGCTTAGGGTTTAGGGTTTAGGGTTCAGGGTTTAGGGTTTAGGGTTCAGGGTTTAAGGTTTAGGGTTTAGGGTTTAGGGTTCAGGGTTTAGGGTGAGGGCTGAGGTTTCAGGGTTCAGGCTTCACCGCAGTTTGACACAGTATACCTTTACCCAAAAGGGGCCTAGCCCATTTGGTAAGGCCCAGTTTTTTTCGTAAGTGCAGTTTGCAACCTCTACCAAACCATAGTCTAGTTTGTGTAAGACCTCTACATGCTCCTTCCCTCAGGCTTTTGGCCAGCATGACTACGTCACCTGGCTGCAGGAAGAGCAACTCCAAAACATCGAGACAACACTTTAGACACGAAAACTACCTCAGACGGCCCTTTGTCGCAAAATACAGGCTGCAGGTCATGATCGTAGTCCCGGCCTGGAGAGCATGCAAGTGGGGCTGCTTGCATTCCATGTCGTTCGAAGCCAAACACCGGTTAAGACGCGTTATGTTTGTGCCCCCAAGCTGTTTGAAGGACCTTGTCGACCTTAGCTAAGTTTTTCTAAGTACAGAGGATGTGGTGCCTTTCACACGGAGCTTCAGCGATGCAAGTTGGTAGGGTTGTCTCTTCCGGATCTCCCTAGCCTGAGGTGCTCCAATCGCTCGCCCGAGCCGTAGACTTTAGGGTTTAGGTTTAGGGTTTAAGGTTTAAGGTTTAGGGTTGAAGGTTTAGCTGCTACATCATGCCGGCTGCAAAGTTGACGTGCATTTCGATTCACGCACATTCGCATAAGTGCTTGTGAGAATGTGACCGGAGGACTCTGTGGTGAGCCTAACGCCCCCAGACCCTGATCCTTAGAACCTTCGAAGGCCTCAGGGTTTAGGGTTTAGGGTTTAGTTTAGGGTTTAGGGTTGAGGGTTCAGGGTTTAGGGTTTAGAGTTCAGGGTTTAGGGTTTAGAGTTCAGGGTTTAGGGTTTAGGGTTGAACCTCAAACCCTAAACCCTATGAAGCCCTGAAGCCGAATCCGAAGCTCCAAAGCCCACTTAGGGGACCCTAATATAGAACCCTAGATAATAGGATCCTGATTAGAAGAACCCCAAAATAAGGAACCCTAATTTTCGGAAAGTCCCATATCCTGAACGTTTCTCCAAATCCACCAAGGTAGGCTACACAAGCTTAACGCACTTCGTCCGAGAGGGCTCGGCTTGGAAGGTGCAAGTGGGGTCTTGCAGTTTTATTGGGTTTGAAGCTTGAGCTTCGTTTCAGTGGTGTTTAGGATTTAAGGCTCTTTGCTGATACTCGTGTTCCTTTTCGGTGAGGTGTTTGATGAACATTCCAACTCTGTCCGCCTGCTTTTGGGAGCAGAACATCTGTGGCAGGTAGCCCCAAGAGTTGCTGCGTACATGGACACGGAAGTCGCAAGCGGAGCTGTAGCTTCGCATTGAATAATATTTATGATTCTTTCGTTGTGCAATCCTGCTGCAAACCACCTCCAGGCCCTACGTCCTGCGTGGGATTCCGCGTTTCTTGCTTGTGAAGCAGTTGTCAGAACCGTACCTTTGAAAGTGAGAAAACAAGCCAGCAAATAAGCGAATAAACAATATGCAAAGATTTATACTGGAATATAAACATATGTAACTACATTAATTATATAGTATCCTAAACCCTAAGCCCTACACCCTAAACCCTAACAGGTGCAAGGTCGTTTCAACGATGTGGCACACCTCTCGGACGCCCGGTTGCACGGTGCTTCTGGGGACTAACCCGGGATCTTTCCATGAGGGCCTTGGGTTGAAAAGTTTGGGTTTCGGGCTTAGGAGGGGTGTTTAAGGGTTCTTTTTGAATTTGGATTTCTTAGCTTCGCAGTTGAACCTAAACCCTAAACCTCAAATCCTAAGCCCTAAAACCGAACCCTAAACCCTCACCCTAAACCCTAAACCCCAAGCTCCATCTGCTTGCAAGGAGGAGCTGCTTTGAGGTTTAGGAGGTGAAGGGTTTGCGGTTTTGAGGGCTTCGGGTTATACCGAAGATAGACCCCATCTTTTCTGGGTTTTGCTTGAGACGCGGAAGCTTTCTGCAGCAAAATCTCGACTCCAAAACGTGCCAGAAGTCAAGGCGCTCTCACAAAATTCCCAAACAAACCCTAAACCCTGAACCCTAAGCCCCAAACCCTACAAAAGTCAGCCCCCGGTTACTCTTCAGGAAGCATTCCCTCAGTGCTTCCCAGAATGCCCAATGCCCCCTACATTCAGGAACATCATATACTTCAACACCACATCATCTACATCAAAAGCATAGTATACAGCCCTCCGTGCTTAAAGCCACATTCCCTTCATCGAGGAATACTCTTGAAGGTATATTCCTTCATGCCCTAAACTCTAAACCCTCTGCCCTATGACCTAAGCCCTAAACCCTAAGCCCTAAGCCCTAAGCCCCAAAACGTGCCTCCCAAGGACAAGGAGGCCTCCCTGGCTAGCGCCTTCTGAAAGCGAAAGAACGCAGGTTTTTGCTGCAGGCGTTCTGGGTTCTTGTTAGGGGGGTTTGAATTAAGTTACTCTAGTAAGGAAGCAACATTTTCCATAGATCCCTATTATGGTAATTGAAATAAAATCCTTTAACAAGAGCCCAGCATTTGGGTTTCAGAGGCTTCTAGAGGGCTCAAGGTTTGGGGTTTAGGGTTTTGTTTTACTAGTCTACTAGAGGGGTTTTACAGGGATGTACATTTTTTGTAAGGTTTTGTAAGGTTACACATTGATAAAGGCCGAACAAATCTGCAATATTATATCCTTACACCCCTACGACACTCTCCACGACCTATTTACCCTCGACTCACTCCCACGACACTCCCCACCGATCTTTTCTCATCCGCCATAACACGCCCACGACACACACGCGTCCCGCCCACCATTCTCCTCGACTTTCGCCCGCCTCTCCTCCGCTCACAAATCTCTTGAAATACCTCGACGCGCCCTCGCCCGCCATTCCGAGACCCCACGACACACTCACGCCCTCGACCGCAAATTCCATTTCTACATTTCCTATAACTACGATATCTGACTATATGATAGATATGACAAAACCTCAAGACATTTTATCATATTAATAAATATCGATGATATCTCATGCTTCATGGACCAACATTATGAAATTGGAATATATTTTCTTGAGATTTCTGGAAAATTAGGTAATACGAAATTTCGAAATTATCGATACCGTGAAGAATTCATATTAGATAAGATAATTGATATGAAATGAGAAAAATGGTGAAATTATGGATTTCATATATACATCATATAATAATGAAAATACTATTTTCATAATACGAATCGATACTTTAGAAATATATAAAAATAAATAGAAATATATAAAAATATTTTTAATATTTTTATTATAAATATTAATTGAAAAAAATCAATAAATTTCTTATCTATTTCTCTTTCTCTCTTTAAATAAAGAAAATTTGTAAATTTATTATCTAAATTATATTAATGATAAAATAATGAAATTATTCTCTTAATTTTCAAAAATCGATTTTAGATAAGAATTTTTCATTTTATATGATTTCTAACTGCTTATTTATGAAATCTATTTGATAAAATAATTCTATAAAATGATATTAGAAATAGATTGGAAAAATTTATATCGATTTATATTCGCGATAATATTCTTCTATCGTTTTGATATATTTTATTTGGCAATATCTACAAGATATATAATTCGTTTTTCTTATGAAATATTTCATTGAATCGATTTTTTGAACATTAAGAATCTCTCGGATCTGAATATCGTATATTTTCTACGATATTTCTTTAATATTTTATTGATTTCATTTGATTGATTATATATATTTGTTTTTAAGATTTTTTTTACATTTTTTCTCTTTAGATATTATTTTTGCATATCTAAGATTATTAAAATTGAATATCGATTTATATTTATCGACTTATTTTTCTGCATATAGCTATAATATTATTTATTTATGAGAA